ACTTTCCAAGCGGAATCCCGACAAACTTAAACAAGGCTAATAGCACTCTTAATTACTCGGGCCCCTCACAACGGCACACACAACGGCACACTCGCACAAGCTCATAAGCAGTCCTTTTGTTCCTGCTGGATCGATGCTCGGGGTTAATGGCACGAGAGCTTGACATTTTCGAGCTGGCTGCACGTCTTTTGTCCCGGTGATTTTTAGCGTGTGAGCCAATGTCTCCTCTGATAAAGCCAGCTGATCTCTGAGAGGCACAGGACCTAGAACTGCTGGGGGGAAATTTGCATGTGTTTCAGAGTTTATCTGTATGACAAAACCTGCTCGTGCTGTGTTACTAGTGAAGCGAGGCCTTCACCAGTCATGGCTAAACAGGATACGAGGGCCACTGTGACATCATCCTTGTGTCGAGGTCATTGCGGGTAGTGGTAGCGCGTGTCGACCTAAGAGAAATTGTCTCCTCATGGTGGCTCAGTGTGGCGTGATGTCTGCTGGTTGTTGTTTCTTTTCAGCATTGCCTCTATTTGCTCCTTTTACCCTCACGGTCGCCATGCATTAGCCACAGCTGTCAGAACAGAGTTTTGTAGACTTCCGCTCATGTACTGATACTTCATGCTTTGGGCCAAAAGCAAATTAAAGAAGCGCTCAGATTTGATGTGCGTCGTCCTCAAGAATATTCTAGCAGGGAAGATTATGTAAAAAGTCTATTTGTTTACACAAATACAACTATTTTTAGAGGAGTGCTTTAAAAGCACACTTCAAGATTCACATGATTTTAAACAAACAAATAAAGACGACCAAGAATGTTGTATTATTTTATTATATAATAAATCAATCCTTATCTCATATTAAATCAATTGTACTGTGGACTCCAATAGATTTGGAGGCTGCAGAAGTCCTTACTTTTCAGAATAATCTCATCTTCCTCTCGTGTCCTCAGCTTGTGTGTTTCTTGAGCTTCATTTGTGCTTGCTCTTCTTTTGTAGCACTCGCTAGATAGTTGCTGGAATAAATACCATGATGGCAACTTTATCGCCATCTGCATGCGTGACCACGTGACGGGAATGAGAAGAAGGAAAAAGGATGTGTAGAGTGTGAGAGCAGAACTGTGGGGTGCCATAACGTTCATAATGATCTGTTTCTGCGAGGCACGAGCAGGAAAGAAGTCTGCAGCAAATGAAAAATTAGCTTGCTTTATGTTATTATGCATTAAATTGCCAAATCTGATTTAATTATTCAACAATTTAGCACTTGATCCCCCAGAGCTCCAAAGGGCTGACTCGCAAACTTCAGTTCTGGCCCCGTTTGCTTTTGCACCACCAGCCCGCTCTCTGTCTGAAATCAGCCGCCTGTGTTTTGTGAAGGATGCTTATGACATCCCCATTACACCACTAGAAGTCAAGATGTGAGCTTCAGCTGAGATTGATCAGAGTCTGAGCACATCCGGGGAGTCAATGAGCCCCATAAAACAAGACACTCTGTTCGGCCTGGCGCCCAGTTTGTTTGCACTGTGATTACCCATATTGTACCGGTGCCATGGTAGACACAAGCGCACACATGGGGGTTTCACCATGGAGAAGACAAACAAAGATGCACACCTCTGTCCAACAATGGACTCCAAGCCCTCAAGTCCCATTGTTATATTTATAATAGGCTGGAACAGATAGAGACAAATATATCTTCACCAGGACACAGCAAGGGCAGCTTAGTAACCTAAGCTCATATTTTATTTTATTTTTGTGTTACTTTTTGTGTCCGTGCATGGCTTCACAAGCCCTAATTCTAACAGTTTTCCTGCCGATAGAAGCCCCTCTCCTCTGAATTCTCAATTGCTTGTTTTAAATGAATCGGGAGTCTGAGCTTTGAGCCTTGTCTCTTTTAATTAACTCCTATATCAGCACTAGTGGGTCAATGACTGGAGACGCGTGTGGATTAAACATAACTGATCCAGAGAGCTGAACTGAGGTATTGGACATGAGACAAAGCACGGAGGGGTTATGTGGTACACTATGGGTGGGGTTTTAGAGGCTCGTTCAAACCAACAGGGTCACTGTAATGGTGCTCTATACTTCTGCGTGATCATGAGGTTTTGACCTGATAATCTCATTATGATGATATTGTGCCAAGCGTCACGGGGCCTGTGAGATATGGCCAAATTATAATATCACACTATATATGAGTCAGAGAAGTGTTAATGTATTGCTGCTGTTGATAAACTGTGCATTAAACACTGTTGAGTGTTTTTGATTTATTCTTGTACCCTCACTGCTGACCACATCCCGTTCAGATTAATCCATCTAGTCTCCTTTTCGCTGGATGAACGTCTCTTTTGAGGGATTGGCGTATTATCAGCTCAGCAATAGTGTTTGTAGTAATATGGATGACACACTGTCAATATCTGCATTTCAAGTATTTATTTTCAGGTGAATGCAAGAGCACGACTGGAAACCAGATCTGTGTGCCGGTAACACGAGATTGTTCTTTGTCGAAAACTTTGTATTATGCAATGATTTACAAGCTCGATGGCCCGGGTGGCTCAAGTTGATATCCCACTGGGCTGAAAAACACTAGGTAATTTTTTTGAGATGGAAACCTTTTAGATAGAAACATAAAAAGCATATAACAGGAATACAGAACCAGGCAAATGTTGTAATTTAATACTTCACCTGTTTAGCCGCTGTCTATGTTCCTGCTAGATCAATATTTAACACATGAGAACAGTGTTAACAGTGATTTTGTGCTTTCTAGCTGGTACAGAAAGAACTAAACCCCTACTGTGCGTGCAGAGATGCACCTAAACCAATACAGCTCCATTATGCTGTCTGTGCCGCACACTTAGTGTTATAGCGGCTGAAACATTAATTGAATGCAGCATTAACACCCCCTCCCCCCAAATCGCCTGCTGGTTGACGTCGCTGGGGTTAACAACATTTCCAGCAGAAGCTCTAATAATATATAATGTTATATTACACATTCTTATTGCCCTGTCTAGAATTTTTCATTTAATGTGTGCATAAACTATACAAAACTTTGTAAATTTAAAAGCACTATAAAGCAGTCCTGGCCATTAGCTTGAAACAATGACCATAATGAATCAATACATTCAAAAATTACTCTTAGTTGGCAGATGCCTTGCATGTATATTGTCACCTGATTCAGATTCATTGGCCAGTGCATCACGGCCTACTCGCCAATCCTTTAGAAAACTGTGTTCTGTCCTCTTCTTCTATGGGAAATGTCAGAGAGGACTTAGAGGAGACGACGTGTGAGAGATACAATCTTCTCTCTTCTCAAAGGCACCTCTGGGAAGCAGGGCACTGAGTGAATTGCTTATGTAAATAGCTCTGCTGCTATAATCCATTGTTGATGATGCCTTTGACTGCAAGGCTGATTTTTAGAAATGCTTTAGTTCTTTGGATCAAAAGAGCGCTTTACCTTTTGACTCTTGACAGCAGTATCAGGCCGTCAGTTCAAGACGGAGCATTTAATAGTAGATCAGCACCTTGGATCAGTGGAATAAAAGAATTGCAACTCAACAAGTCTTGTTAGCTGTCGCTGAGTAACTGTGTTTGCCAATGAAAACCGACATCTGTAATTGTTGTTTTCAGTCATTAAGTTAATGCAATGCTGTTTGCAGGAACGTGTCTTCTTTATAGCGCAGCTGCGCTGTGATAATAATATGTGTGATGTTCATGCGGGCTAATGCTAATTAGCAATAGCTGCACGATTCAAGAAGACCTTTCCCTCGAGCTGTGAGAGTGTGTCCAGGCTGTGGCTGTTAAAGGCAGAGATGCAGAGGCCCGTGAGATGCTCAGATGATGGGATCAGGCTGTGCATTGTGTCTGCTACAGCAATGCAATGCTAGTCCAGCACTTTGTTCTGTGACAGGCATGGAAGGGAATGTTTATTAATTTATACACATGTAACTGTGCAACCCCCCCCCCACACACACACACACACTCTCACACACACACACACACACACACACACACACACACTCTCACACACACACACACATATATATGTACATTGTGGTAGAAGCTGCTGACCTTAAAAAAACATTCATGGCGTTTTCATCGTTATTCCACACACGGAGGTCAAAAAGCAGCAGACTGTGAGTCCCGTGACCTTCTGTCAGAGGAGGTTAGCGATGACCCTCGCTGCCTTCTGTCTGCACTCTGCTGTCTGCCGTCGTGCATGTGTGCACATCCTGCCTGCCTCGCATCAGTTCTGAACACAGAAGCGAGCGTCTTCCAACTTCACTCACATAAAACCTGCTTTCCTCTTGTGAGGCTGGAGAGTGTTAGTCAGCTGTTTGTGTGAACGCTCGTTTAAAGACTTTGTTTTGAAATGAGGCTGTGAGGGGGGAAAAAAAAAACAAGCAGCGTAGAGAAGTGGAGATACGAGACATTTCCATTCTCACTACACTGTTACTCATCTTTTGTCGGCTAGCTAGTGGTCATTCTATAAATAGTATTGAGGAGATGGCGGCCAGGAGACTTTGTTGGAAAATGTATTTCCATGGAGACAGTTTTCATTGCACTTTGTGATTAGAGGCTCTTTATGAAGGGATTGTAGATGATGTAAGGTTAAAGTATGTATTGTTGCCGGTACAGTTACAGCAGAAAAAGGAAGCCTGTTTTACACAAGCTCGTTACTCAGCTGAAGCACTATCCCCATTTTAATTTGGAAACGACATGTGGACATTGCAAAGTCTGCAACACTATGACTCGGCTACCACAGACACATCCACAAACGGCGTGCAAAGCAAATACTGCTTTGCTTCTTTTTTTTCCCTGCATGCAAAATGTGTGGGAAGACAAACACAGATAAAAATCGTATTTTCATAGACCAGACTCTGAGAGCAGCGCCGGAAAGCGCTGGAATCTCAGGACTCACAAAGTGCCTGTATAAGGAACATGAATGTGCTCCTTGATCACATGCTCCATGATCTTGTTGTTAAGGTATTTAAATGTGGCCACATGTCCAGCATGTGGCAGCTACATTGAATTATCCCAATCTTTTTTTCTCTGCAACTGTTTCCTTGTTCAGCCATTGAGTGTAGCTGTTGTCTCTGGGGCATTGATCTAAGTGTGGGTGGGGCACTTCCTAGTATGGAAAAAAACTCAGCTCATACACTGCCCTCTGTGTCTTCTCTGGTGTTTTCCTGCTTTGCAGCCCATCTGCTGAAGAGCCCTCAGATGTTCCTATTATAAGCAATAAGACGGCAATTGCCCATCAAAGACAGGTTAAATCTTCATTTATTCCTCTACATAGGCACTGCTTACCAACAAGACCAAACGCTTATTGTGCAACCAGACGATTTCCTGGTATCAGCCTAGTTGTTTTTCCAAGGAAAATAGCTATAAAAAAAGGAGGCAGAAAAGCTGAGATTGGCATCGTAGTGGATCAGTATGTACCTCCAGCAGAGCTTTCATCTCACACTGTCAGAGCCTTTACCGACCTGGGTCCTAAGGGGAACCCTGGGGAAATCCCAACCTGGACATGAACTGCATGTAAGGAAGAGGGATTGGAGGGAGAAGAAAGAAGAAGGAAACAAAGAAGTGAGAGTGAGAGTTATATGTGTCTCTTTTTTTCGATATTTAACACAAGCAGTTTCACTTTTTTTTTTTTCTCTTTTGTTTTCAGCCGCGGGCAGTGTTTCTAATGTTACAGTGTATTGAGCCGCCTGCAGATACTGCTATTTTACAATGGATATGGGATTACAAGAGATTTTAATCTTTTAAAAAAAACACACACACTGATTTTGTGTGTGAGAAGGGTATATACCGTTTCCTGGAGATGTTTGAAAATCCTGGTGCTGCTGTTGCCTCGGTAACCCTTTGCACCATGATAATGTCCTTTTTCTAACAGAGGATTGAAGGTTATCCACGTCACAGTCTTCTGTTCCCTCCTACCTGTGAATAATAGCTTCTCTATTTTTGATATCTCATCCAGCAAGATGCAGTGCAACACTGTCAGTGAAGACATGTACTCAAAATGAAAAGCCATCTGTACAACTCGATTACTTGGCTCTTTTCATTTTCATTTTTCCTTTTTAACACTTTTTTAAATAAAAAAAGCTACAGAGGAAAAAAAGAAGAAAAAATCAAATCTTTTGAGTCACAATTTCTTTGGGGTTTTTTTGGTTCATGACTCCTGTCTTATTTAGCTGACATGTTGTTGCACACCAAAATGCTTTTTGTGTATCTAAGCCAGTGAGCGTGTCAGAGTCGGTCAGCTTCAGCAGTGTGCTTCCTCAGAAGTAGGGCTGGGCCATATTATACCGTTCACGGTAATACCGGTATAATGTTAGGCAACGATAGGAAAATGAAATATCGCGATAGAATGAGAGTAAAACGCGCATGCGCAGTGCCTTTGTTTTCATACGCACATGGCCGATTGTTGAGTGAAACAGATGATCCAGAATTGGTTTGTAAAAATGGTGCAACTTCAGTGATGTGGAACTGGTTTGGTGTTTGTCCGTCAGATACACAACAAAGCACATTTTTTTGCAGAACATGCAAGCGGGCGTTGTTATTGTCGTATTTGTCGGACTAAGATGCTCTTAAATCTGGGAGTAATCTGGGTCCTAAACTCCGTATGCTTCAGGTCAAACAACACTGCAGCATCACTTAGAGTTAAAAACTGTCTAAATTCTTTCATCTTTAATAAAACGATCAGCATTGCTGCTTTACGAGGTGTAACTATAAAGTTTAACTTCCAGGCATCCATGAAAACAAAAGTTATTACATTTAACGGAGTTAGAAGTTAGCAGGAAGCTAGCGGAAGTTAGCTCGCTAGTTTCGCTAGTTACCTAAGCATGATATTGCATGTTCTGACTGAGAGATTTCTGAAAAAAATCAAACGTACAGCTCTGCTATCACTTGCAACATAAATGAAGACAGGAAACTAAACAGCAGTGACGTTTGTAGGGTTACTGAAGTTGGGCTAGCTGGTATATAATGATGTGCTACGTGATCGCTAGCGACACAGCTATGTTAGCATAACATAAACAGTGAAGCTGGAGGACGAACACTAACACTTTTCCACTTATAAAAGTTAACGTGAAGGTTCTTCATGGTTAGAGACAAATGCAATCGCATGGCAGGATACTGTAAACGGACCAAACTTCAGTCAGGAGAACAACTGAGATAATCCATCCACAATACGAGGTTAGTCATTAATATACTGCAGCAACATGGGAATAGAGCAGCTGCCAGAGAATTCAACATTAAGGAATCAATGGTACAGAAGTGGAGGAAGCAAGAAGAATGAGTTTAATAAAGTTTGATTTATCTGACTGCTTTGTTTCGCTTTTTTTTCGGACCATAAGGTGCACGGGATTATACCCGTGCACCTTATGGTCCGAAAAATGCGTACTGCACACTGCAGTTTAATGTTGCAAAGCACCTCTTTTTAACTTCAGTGGATATTATACATGGTTATGCTCAGGACATGTCAGCCCATTTCTAGTGGAAATGCCTTTTGGTTAAACTTTCAGCAAGCAAGATTGCATGTCTCCCTGGAAGCCCTAAAGATTAGTTGGAAAACTTATCAGAGGGCAGTTAAGGCCGATAAACACTCCTACTTTTCTCAACTTATTTCGGCCAACTCTCATAACCCTCGTGTTTTATACAATACGATTAATTCTGTACTTAACTTGGAGGGTTACAACCTTTTGCCGTCCTCTGAGGCTATGTGCAATAAGTTTATCACCTTTTTTGTGGACAAAATTGCTAGCCTGAGGCCTCTGATTCCACCTATTGTTGATCCGGCCATGCATTCTCCTTGCTCAAGCTTATTCCCTGCTTTTGCACCGATTTCTCTGCGTGACTTAGAGGAGTTGGTGCTACATGCTAAGCCCTGTGGCTCCCCAAATGATGTTGTTACTCCCCGCTTTCTCCAAAAAGTATTTCCCATCCTTGGACCTTATATCCTGAAAATTATCAATACTAGTCTGTTAACCGGTCAAGTTCCTAGTGGGTTTAAACATGCAGTCATACACCCCTTACTTAAGAAACCTGGCCTTGATAGGTCTACTATGTCAAATTTTAGACCTATCTCCAAACTTCCCTTTTTAAGCAAGATCTTGGAGAGGATTGTACATACCCAACTGTTGGATTATTTGAGCGACTCGCAATTGTCTGAAATTTTCCAATCTGGTTTTAAGCCCTTTCACAGTACGGAGACAGCTCTTGTTAAAGTTATGAATGACATTCTTGTTGCTACTGATCGTGGTAAATATGCTGTGCTTGTCTTATTGGATATGACAGCTGCATTTGACACAGTGGACCACGACCTGTTGATCTCCCGCTTACATCACTGTGTGGGAATTTCTGATCTGGCATTGTCATGGATAAAATCATATCTTTCCGAAAGGAGTTTTTGTGTCAAGCTGGGGTTGGCCGCTTCCTCTGTGGCCCCTCTGCTTTGGGGTGTGCCCCAGGGATCTATCCTTGGGCCATTACTTTTCTCGCTGTATTTACTCCCCCTTGGTGCGATTTTTCGTAAACACGGAGTGTCATTTCATTTGTATGCCGATGACTGTCAGCTTTACTTACCTTTTAGTCATTTGGATACCTCCCCATGTCAATCACTGCTTGACTGTCTTAGCGATATTAAATTATGGATGGCAAATAATTTTTTGAATTTTAATGGTCGCAAAACGGAAGCAATTTTATATGGCCCGCATCGTTCTACTGATTCTCCAGATGTTGATTTTGGTGATTTGACCTCTCATCTGAAAAGTTCAGTCACTAATCTTGGTGTTAAACTTGATTCTGCGCTTACTTTTGAAGGTCATGTAAGTGGGGTGGTAAAATCAGCTTTTTATCACCTCAGACGCCTGTCGAAGGTTAAGCCTTTCCTTTCCAAACCCAATTTGGAAACTCTTATTCATGCTTTTATCACCTCACGTCTGGACTATTGTAATTCCCTTTTAATAGGGGTCGGGTCGGGCACCTTGTCACGCCTGCAGTTAGTGCAAAACGCGGCGGCGCGATTTTTAACCGGTAGTAGGAAATTCGATCACATCACTCCGGTTCTGGCTTCCTTGCATTGGCTTCCCATTGATTTTAGGGTTCGTTTTAAGGTCCTTTTATTGGTTTTTAAATCTTTAAATGGTCTGGCTCCTGTGTACTTAACTGACTTGCTGAAGCCACATGTTCCTCCTCGCTCGCTCCGTTCAGCTGAGCAGCTGCTGCTGTCGGTCCCTAAGTCGCGGCTGAAATGCAGAGGAGACCGTGCCTTTTCAATTGCGGCTCCGATGCTCTGGAATAACCTTCCCCTCCAAATTAGACAAGCGTCATCAGTGCAGGTCTTTAAGTCCAGATTGAAAACCTATTTTTATTCCCTGGCTTTTAACTCTGTAGGAAACTGACACCTTCTTATTTATTTTATTGTTTGTAATGATTTTATGGTATTTTTAATTTGGTTGTTGTTTTGATCTGTGTTGTTCAGCACTTTGGTCTGCCTGGTGTGTTCTTAAAGTGCTATACAAATAAACGATGATGATGATGATTTGTACTGTTACATTTTTATAAAGCTTTAATGTACATAAAAACCAGCTTCTTGTTTAAGTGAATATAAATGGAAGGTTGTCTTTTTGCGCTAGTAATGTTGTGGAGTTGTATTTTGTCTCGCATCAATTATATCGTCGGTTATATCGTTATCGCAAATTTTCAAATATATATCGTGATAAATATTTTTGGCCATATCGCCCTGCTCTACTCAGAAGTACTTCAAACAGACTGGAATTCATTGATTAGAATAATGGCTTATATGCTTATTATATGCTTATAGTATTAAATACAAAAGGGCACGATAAAAGCTGTGGTTTTAGGCTCAGCTGACCCTTAACCTTTTTATAAAAAAATATCCCTGTATCTTTTTATTTATATCAATCATGACTCCAGGTGCTGAAACATGCAAAGCTGAATCTAGTTTGATGAAATGCCATAGGAAAAACCCTTATATTATCTCTTTCAAAATAAATGCTTGGCAGTAATTTGCTGATGGCAAATATTTGATGTCAAGGAGCAGCACAAAGCATTGAATTGGCATGAATGATATCTAATACCCGCTGCAGGAAATGTCCCTGTAGGTATTGGCAGCACTAAATTTCTATTTTACAGTGCACCTGTTACAACAGTTTCTTTAAAAAAAACAACAACCCAAAACTATGGTCTGTTCTGTACAATAACTTTCCAATATAATACTGTATTCTCAGCCGACAGCATTTATGATGTTAAAATAATTTTCTTCCTATAATTTCCATAAGCAGTGAAATATAGTTGCTTGTACTAGCCTGTGTACCCTGGATTCAGTTTATTCTTGTTCTTGAACATAACAAGATATTTATTGCTTTGTAAAAAAAAAAAATCTTTGGGAATGCCATGACATTAAACATTTTAATAGCTATCCTGAAAGTGAACATTGGCCAGTTCTGATTAATTCCCTTTGGAGTCTCAGTCACTGTGAGCCATTTAAATCTTTTTAAATGTTCAGAACTTGTGCACAAAAGTCAAAATCTAAACACAAATTAACTGAACTAAACAATCAC